ACACACACACACACACACACACACACACACACACACACACACACACACACACAAGAAATGCCTGAAAGTATGCTGTGAAAGTAGTTCAGTGCAGTAGATTTATCACAAAGCATACTACAAGAAATAGGGGCCACAAAAATCTCCCAATAACTAGATATTTATTGCAACTAATAGCGTTTTATGGCAGTTATAATAAATGACATTTGCAAATATTATAGATATGCATTATCGATAAAGGAGGCTACTAGTGACTTAACTATCCAAATTTGAAGCTTCTAGCTATTATACTTTAGACGATATTAGCCCCTGTAGACGAACACATACGGAAAAAGTATTTTCCGATTTGCCACGCCCCTAGTGGGCGGATCAGGAAAATCTTAACACTTTATAAATCGGAGATATACACGAGTAGCTTCAATACTGCCGAAATAAAGTGCGTTAATACGGACAGACGGACAGATAAGACGGACATTGCACAAACCAATACCCTCATTTCACTTTCGTGAATAAATATAATTATATTTCCAATTGAAGCTATTCTATGTATGCGAGGATAAATCAATAAAATCAAGCGAAATGATAAATTGCAACAATAAAATCAAGGAGCTGTCCGACTGCTCCTTTCAGGCGTATAATTGGACCTCAAATGTGGTGGTGCATTTACTCCCACTGAGTTATCGAAAAGAAAAAAGTGAAGATAAATGATAAGGGGTATACGAGAGTTTAAAATGTTTTTAACGAACTAATTTAAGTAAGTCTACTACGAATACCTATGTATGTGATAAAGGCTTTTGTTCACATAAGCCCTTCTGCTTCTTCTTCTTCCCAGGCGTTGGCTATGCCATTTGCCTGATCGACATTTATATGGGCATGTACTACAACACGATAATTGGCTGGGCGGTGTACTACTTGTTCGCCTCGTTCACCTCCAAGTTACCCTGGACGTCGTGCGACAACGCATGGAACACCCAGAACTGCATGCCCGTGACAAGCGAGAACTTCACGGAGTTAGCCACATCACCGGCTAAGGAGTTTTTCGAGTAAGGTCAAATTATATGTATATACATTCTAATTTTTTAGTGTCCATAACTGAATATCACAGGCGTCGAGTTCTGGAGAGTTACAAGAGCAACGGGCTGGACTTCATGGGGCCTGTTAAACCCACCTTGGCGCTTTGTGTGTTTGGAGTCTTCGTGCTCGTCTACTTCTCGCTCTGGAAAGGCGTACGCAGTGCCGGAAAGGTCGTCTGGGTCACGGCCCTGGCGCCCTACGTAGTACTCATTATCTTGTTGGTGCGCGGCGTATCTCTGCCTGGCGCCGATGAGGGCATCAAGTATTACCTGACTCCCGAGTGGCACAAGCTGAAGAACTCCAAGGTTTGGATTGATGCAGCCTCGCAAATCTTCTTCTCCCTGGGTCCAGGTTTCGGCACTCTGCTCGCCCTCTCCAGCTACAATAAGTTCAATAACAACTGCTATCGGGATGCGCTCATAACCAGCAGCATCAATTGCCTGACCAGCTTTCTGGCCGGATTCGTTATCTTTTCGGTGTTGGGGTGAGTACAGAGTGAAAAACTCGTGATTTTATGACATTCAGAAATGAATACCTTATTAGAAACTGAACAAATTTAGTGCTGGGTGGAATTACTAAGTGATTTTTATGAAACATTAACTTTTTTGTGTCTAAAAGCATACTTTGATAAAGCCACATATACATACATCTGGAGTAAGCAAGGTATAATAAAATAACATAATAAATACTAAAAAGTAAATAGGCAGAATTGAAATTTGATAATTATTAAGTAGACTTAGCTAATTCAATTGATTTTCTATTTTCAATTAGCAAGAATTTTTGAGTAGCTTCTTTAAAGTATTTGGGTTTTTAGTGACACGCATAAGATAGGAATGAAGGTGCGAAACATTATTATTATAGTATTAGATGATAAATATTTGTATCTCTTAACAACATATATCTGTAAAATCTCTTCACGCCCCTAGCTATATGGCCAACGTGCAGAAGACATCGATTGACAAGGTGGGCTTGGAGGGACCCGGCCTGGTTTTCATTGTGTATCCTGAGGCTATCGCCACCATGAGCGGCTCGGTCTTTTGGAGTATTATATTCTTCTTAATGCTCATCACGCTGGGTCTGGACAGCACATTTGGCGGCCTGGAGGCGATGATAACGGCCCTCTGCGACGAGTATCCACGTGCGATCGGGCGAAGGCGAGAGCTGTTCGTGCTGCTCTTGCTCGCCTTCATCTTCCTGTGCGCACTGCCCACAATGACCTATGTAAGTATGAGTGTGGGGAGCTGTTGTCGCTTATCTATCAGTCCGAGTGATTCGTTTAATTAACTGTTAAGTGTGTGCGCCCTACTCCTCTGCTCCCCTGCTCTTCTGCTATCTGACTATACGACTATGAATGGTGGGGGCTTCACATGGCTCATTAAACGCGGCCAGCACCAAGAGTGGCAATTGTCTTGCTGCCGGCCGAGGTAAGGGATGGGCGGACTTGCGGACCAAAAAACGATGGATTGCCATATTAAGTGCTTTCCATCGTTCCTCCAGATAATCTCACATACTCACTTAGCTCCAGTCAAGTCGCTAACCGCCTGACCGGTTCGCATCTCTCTCCTTGTGGTTCAACTTCGGCGTCTGCTTCTGCATTTTTATTAGCTGTTAGCCAGGTGGGTCGCGCGCTTGTGTGCTCTTCGGCTGGCCGACCGGCGGGAGAAGGGTGTTGGCCAAACACTTGGCTCTCTGCCTGTCTCTGCCTTTTTCTGTCCGCCCATCGCCACTTTGTCTGATTACATTTGAAATTGTAATTTCGTATCTTTTATATATTTAACTTGACCACTCGACTTGAGTATCGGTCAATGGATCAAGCAATTCCATTTATGTGCATATCTTAGCCGGGACTCCACCTGCAACCATTTATCAAGCCTGGCGTGGACAACTGCATCCACTCCAGTGAGGTTGATATAGATTTGATCGATAGAAATAATAACTCTGGCAACGCTTTCGCTGATAGCCCAGAAGCTATTCCAGTGAATCTTAATATGTGTGTAATAGCTGTGTCCATAGCTGACATGCTACAAAATGCGGAAATACTGTCGAATTCTCTGTTCTCACCCAATAATGAGTGCATGACAGTCATGCAAACATAGAATGCAGCCCAAGTACTGATATTACCGGCCTGATTGCAGGGTGGCGTGGTCTTGGTCAACTTTTTGAATGTATACGGACCCGGCTTGGCCATACTCTTCGTGGTGTTCGTCGAAGCAGCTGGCGTTTTCTGGTTCTATGGCGTTGATCGCTTCAGCGCGGATGTGGAGCAGATGCTGGGCGCCAAGCCAGGGATTTTCTGGCGCATCTGTTGGACGTACATAAGCCCCGTGTTTCTGTTGGTAAGTGGACAGAGAGAGAGAGAGAGAGAGAGAGAGAGAGAGAGAGAGAGAGAGAGAGAG